CCCCAAATAAAGGGAGAGAAAACAGAGAACTATTGCAAGAGATAATCTATTGACCGCAAGAGCTTAAATTAACTTTTCAAAAAATAAAAAAATAGATGAAAAGCTTGAGCATCGTACAACATACAGTCCCCCTAATGCCTATACAAAATAGAACAAGGAAGCAGGGCACTGGTTGCAGTATGTCTAAGGCTTTTAGTTAAGCGAGGACTATCTTAGTGAAAAAGTCTATCTTAGTGAAAAAGTATGTAGATCGCAAAGAATTTATACCTTTTTCTATCAGTTTCTTAAGCATCATATCATCTTTTTTTAAGAAAGGTAACGATGTTATATATCTTTAGCACAAAGGCTGTGCTATGAGACACCTTTAAAGTTCTTATAGGCAAAAGTATATCCTTGTTTTTACAAGGACTACGAATTATGATATCTAACAATGACTCCACATCATCTACAAAATCTTCTTTAACATCAATCATTTTGTATGTTTGACAAATGGCATAGTTTTTTGTTAAAGACGAATGGCATAACTATTCATACGAAAACAAAAATTCACAAGGCCCAATAATAGGAAGAAATAGTTTTTTTCTCACAATTGAAAATTAGGGGAATTTTCAAAATCCTGCAATGGTCTTCACTTGTAGAGAGCATACTAAGCGTCTAAGTTCATAATTAAAGGCAACTATAAGCATGGCAAGAACAACGACAAAGGAAGGCGACCCAAACAACTTTCCCACCATCATTGAACATGGTAGGAAAAGATTACATGTCTAACACCTCAAATTGCTACTTCAGAACAGCTCAAAAATTAACCAGTTTGACTTTAACATAAGAACAATTAACATTTATATCCACATGCATATAATCTCTTTCCACACCATGAACATATCCCAACTAAAGAAACCATTATAGGTATACAAGACTTGAAACAGATATTAGTGCAACCTAACTGAGCACCACGTTTTGCATTGTCAGAACTTACCTACATCCTATGTTGCTCGGACTCTCCAAAAGTGCTGTCGCACCCGTGTCGGATCCTCCAAAAATGCACTAAATTTGGAGGATCCGACATGCACCCAACAACATTTTTGAAGAGTCCGAGTAACATAGCCTACATCTAAATGTGAAGTGTATAAGCTTCACATTAAGTCGGTCATCAGTCATAGAACAAGAGAACTGAGGCAAGTCAACATTCTTCTTTTAATGGGTATTAGCAGTCAGTAGAGTATCCAAATGTTCACACATATGATTCAGCGAGAAAGGTTGCTTCTATTCTTTAGAAATAGAGGTGTGGGGTGAGGAGAGGGACGGAGATATGGAGGAAGGGAAGGGAGGACCTGGCCCAAACCTAACATACATTTCAATTAAATCAGATAAATGCTGTAACAAAAATACATCCACCGAGCAACTCTGAAGAGCAAGAAAAGAAAGAGAATGCTTACGTGTAAATTGTAACAAATATTTCTGGGACCATGCCAACGAGTGTCCCCAGCAAATAAGGACCATACTTGACTCCAGTTGCCATTGCACAGTAATTATAAACTATATATGGAAAAGGGGAAATCCTGATCAATGCAACAGCTCGAGCCTGGTTAAACCAATTCCCTTCACCAGCTAGTCTTATAATAGAAGCATTCTTGGGATATCTTTCTATCCAGCTCTACAGGAGAAGAAAGAAAGATATTATGAAATTTATTTTAAGTAAACAAAGCAAAGTGACGAAGTGCAATCAGTCTGCGAAAGTAATGAAGTACATACTTGGATTCTGTGATGGAAAAGATGACCTATGAAATAAGGAAGAGATACACCAATAGGAAGTGCTCCGATGATAAGTAGAAAACCATATCCATATCCGAATGTCATCCCAGCTACCCACATGGAGGGAGTGGAAGGTAAAATGAGGGTTGGGAAAATTGCCACAGAAGCATAAACTAGAACTGCAAGTACCGGAGTACTGAAAGTTCTTGTCTCCCAATTTAGTATGGGAATAATCTCCTGAAATAGGAAAACAACAGTCAGAAATTGATATGATCCAGAAATCATAAAACCGTTCTGATCAGCATTATAATAAGTGCCACCAAATCAGAGTCAGCAGAGGGAAATACCGAAATAGCATGATGAATGGAGTTAAAAGTTGATCCGTCAATGAACTAAGCCTAGTACTCTATACACATTACGCTATATTCAGGTCCATTTCTTTCCAATATAAATGAATGGAATTAACTGTGTGACTTCGAAAAATAACCTCAGTGAACCTTATCTCAAACTCTTCATCTAATTTAGTTAGCAGCAGTGAACTCATCACCTACAGCTATATAACAATTCTTCCACCTAAAGTACTAACTCTGGTAAGTACTCTAAATCCAACTCACTCACAAAACACCCCACACATGAGGTCAGTTTAAGTAGCTCAGACTTCGTCCATAAGCAGTTTAGTTAGAATCAGGAGCCATTAACAGAATACAAGATTAATTGGCTACAATAAATTCATTTTACCAGTTACAATCTCTATTATTTGCTGAAGCTTCAATAAATTCACTTAACGGATGACGGTGGTGTCCAGGCCAGCTTGCGCCACCACGACTACTCCACCGGGTACTTGCTATTTTCCACCAGCACAGATACCGGATAACTCTGCCTATCAAGACCTAGGCAGATACAAAGAAATCAACTAATGCTTTTTGCCTCTGCTAGAATTTGAACCTGAGATCTTATGACTTTCCTCTCACTCCATTGACCACTAGGCACACCCTTGGGTGCAAATTCACTTAAATCAGCTTATGAATCATTTTATCCTCTCCCTTAAAGTAATTAATACATATAGCACGAGTCAATGCACTTAAAGAGCAAGCAAAAATGCAACTAAAACAAAATGATCACCCTCAAATATTCACCAGAAGCTATAAAGAGTATGACCTTCTCACATGCAACAAATAATACAAACAGATACATAATTCGAATAGGCAAATATTTCCTAAAAAGAACAAAAGTTAAGCTAAAATTGACCTTATCCATGAAAAAAGGTCCGACCCATTTGAGAAAAACAACAGCCAAAACTCCAACAAAAATGAGGAGGAGCACCAGCTTAGCCCACCACCAAAGAGACCAACATCTGCTGCTGCTTTTGCCTTCATATCCAAGGCCTGATGATGATGCACCCATGCAATTGCAACCCCCACCACCAAAGAAACCATTTTTCTCTTCCTTTTCCAATTCATCTCCACCTAATTTTACATAATTACCCTTCAGATCCTCCTCCCTCTCCAACCCCAATAACGGAGCTGGTATCACCTCCACCCCTTCCTCCTCATCCTTCCCAGCAAACGTCATTAACCACTCAATCAACAATCCAATTCTAATCAACAATCCAAAACCCAGATTGGATTTTATTCTTTTTTCACAAAATAACCGTTAAACGTATTTATTGGCTCCGATTCTTTGTGGGAAAAAATGTACTAAATTTTAAGCCCTAATAAAGGGGTTGGATTGGGAAGAATTAAAGTGCGTTTGCGTAAAGATATTTCTATTAGGTGTCTTCTTACGTATATGACACACACATTACATACAATAGACAAACATCGGACGCTGATGAGTGATGATGAAGAAGAGGAAGAAGAATGGTAGATGAGAAGAGAAGCAATCAGTTATACTAATGAACAGAAAATCAAAAATTAAAATAAGGGTTTAATATATGAACAAGTGAAACCCATATTTTGTTGAACTTGGTTACAAATTGCACTATGGGCAGTCCCCAAGTTAGCTTTCGGCCGTTCTTTTGATGAAATGACAGAAGTATCCTTCTAACTTTTTTATTTTTTATTTTTGTTATTGTCATTAATATGAAAATACTACTCTGCTTGATTTATGGTTCACGTGAGTTCTAACCCTACGTTAAATACATAAATGGGCACTCATTTAGTTATCGATACTTTAATGATTTATAAATATTTTTGAGTTTAACTTTTATGCCATAATCGAATATAAATTATTTACATAAGAATTGAACGAAATAAAGAGTAAAACTTTATTATATACGGGGTTTGAACTCTAGTTGATTTAACTCAAGCTTTTAGGTTTTTTTTTTTGGCTCCGCTCAAAAACAAATTTGCTTGAATTGTTGGGTTGTAAATTGAGTTGTTAGGGTTAGGGGTGTACATGGATCTTGTTGGTTCGGTTTTTATCAAAATCAAATCAAACCAACTATATCGGTTTGGATTGGTTTGGTTTGTTGAATTTTTCAGGTTTTTCGAACTATTTTTGTTATATGAATACGTATTATTTCAATCTTACTTTGTTAAATTGTTTATAAGTAAATATATGTTTAGTAAAAATTGACAAACATATGATCTATTAACATATTCTTATGAGAGAATTTTCTTAGTTACATATGATAGTTACTTTTTAGTCGTTTGACAATAATTTTTCGTTGATGTACACTTTCAAGGTTAATTGAATTTAATAATTAAACATAAAAATCAATATGATGCCTATATAATGATATATTTTATTTAATTTTAAATTATCGAAATACCACTTCAAATTTGAAAAAAGATATAAGAATTTAATAGATCTTAACATATGGATATGGAAGAACAAAGAGATTGACGCATTTCACTAACACTTGATAAAAAAAGTAATCATACAATCCATTATTTAAAGTTAATAAAAATAAACCACTTCATATTTAACTAAAAATTACATCCCATAAGAGAATCGCATATATTTCTAGATATTTTTTAAATAAAATTCTATGAGAAGTCTTAAAAGTATATATAAAAATTATATATTTATATGTCGGTTTGGTTCAGATTTTTTTACTCAATACCAAACAAAATCAAACCAAACCTAATCAGTTTTTTTAATCGATTTGGTGCGGTTTTTCGGTTCGGTTTGTACACGTTAGTTAGGGCCATAGAGTTCCAATTTGCTCATAAGTTGGGCAGTTTGACGGTCTTTTCTTGGGTGAAATTCAAAAATAGCCAGATTTACAAGTGGTAATTGAAAAATAGTCACAATTTCAAAAGTAATAAAAAATTAGCCACTTTTCATGTAAAGATAAATCTGAACGAAAACACTGTTCAAAATATGGAAAATATTCCAGCATAATATACTAGAGTTCGAATTTTTTACATGTGAATTTTCAGCATAATATACTGGAGTTCCAGTATATTATGATGGAACTCCAGTATATTATGATGTAGTTCCAATATAAATACACTGGAACTCCATCATAATATACTGGAGTTCCAGCATAATATACTGGTCCAGCATAATATGCTGGAAGTTCATACACAGGTGCTCCAATCTTCAGTATATTATGCTGGAACTTTCCGTGTTGCAGCAAAATAGTAGCTATTTTTCAATGGCTTTGCAAATGCTGGCTATTTTCAATTACCAGTCCAAAAACTGGCTAGACTGTGTTATTTTTACTCTTTTCTTTCACAAATCTTTTTAAAATAATATCAGAACAATTAACCCAATAGACTCCCATCAATCACTTAAATTAAGAATAGTCAGTGAAGGTATAATATATATATATATACTATGTATTATATATGTATAATTGTGTATAATCATTGTATAATTTATGTATATGATTAGAAAAAGTAAACAATGAATATGATAGACTATTTGTGTAAATATCCCTTACATTTGTTTTATTGATCATTTAAAAAATAATTATAAGTAACTTTATCTAATAAACAAACCTCAATAAGAATGTATTACTTTTAGGAAACATGCAAGAGAAGTAAAAGATTCATGAAGCAGTAGCCATACATAAATGATAAATGATAAATGATAAATGATTAGTTTTATTAGTTTCAAGGAAAACCTAAACAAAAATGTACTTAGATGGGAATTTATTCACGAAATAGAAATCAACAAGTGAAAAAAGTGTAACAAAGAACTCGAGCATAACAAAAAGGTACAACTTGAATTCTACTATTCCGAAATCCTGATATGAGAAAAGATGAATACAAGTATGAAAAGCGTAAACTATACGAGGAGAAAACTTGTAGCTGAATGTTAGTACAATTATTATTTATGAGTGGAGGTTAGTATCTGGAGTCCCCGTGTGATAAGAAAGTGCCGTTAATACTCAAAAGTAAGTGTTATAGGACGGTGGTTAGACCGGTCATAGTGTATAGTGTTGAGTATTGGCCAGTTAAGAACTCACATATCTAGAAAATGAAAATAGTATAAATGAGGAGTTGAGGTGGATCTGCATGCACACTATAATGGATAAGATTAGGAATGATGTTATTCGGAAGAAGATGGGCGTGATTCCCATTGATGACAAGATGCGAGAAACGAGACTCAGATAATTTGGATACGTACTGAGGAGAAGCTCAAATGCCCCGGTAAGAAGGTGTGAGCGGCTAGCTTTGGAAGGCACGAGAAGAGGTAGAAGGCGGCCTAAAAAATATTGGGAGAGGTGATCAGGCACGACATGGCGTGACTTCAGATTTCCGAGGACATGACCTTTGATAGGAAGTTGTGAAGGTCGAGTATCAGAGTTGTAGGTTATGAGGTAGTTGAGCCTATTTCTACTTCATACCAATGTGAGGCTAGTTTGATAGGATTTTTGTCTTAAACTGCTAGTGGTTAATGTTGTGTTCTCGCTACTCTTTCATTTTTCATAATGTCGCGTCTATTTACTGGTTATTATTTTTGTTTTTCATCTATTTTCTTGTTTGTATGATGTTATTATTCCTATAGTTTTTGTTGATGGTACTGATATATTGTCTCTTTTTGTCTTGAGCCGAGAGTCTTTTAGAAACAATCTCTCTACCCCTCTGGATAGAGGTAAGGTATGCGTACACACTATCCTCTCCGGACCTCATTAGTGAAATTTTGATGGGTTGTTATTATTGTTTCTTTGGTAATCTAGTACCATTATTTTGTAATTGTTTGCTTATAGCTGTATAATAAGCAGTAATTTGCAACACCTTTATTCTGTTGTCATATCAACTGCTCAAGTTATTGTTAATTTGTAAATTTAAAAAAAAAAAAAAAAAAAAAAAAAAAAAAAAAAAAAAAAAAAAAAAAAAAAAAAAAAAAAAAAAAAACTCTATAACTTTTAGCTTCGAACATTCCGTCCTTCTTACACTTTTCGACATTTCAGTTTCCATGAATTTCTTTATCTACTAAAAATAGTAGAAATTCCTGCAGTGCCTACTTATTTGATATTTCATGTCTAATCTATAAACGGAAAATACAAATAAGAACTAAGGTAATCCAATTTAATAACCGGAGAGAATGTTCAAGTCAATTTTGAATATCTTCCTCCTTTTAGCATATTTTATAACGGCAAATAATGAATAAAAGTTTTGTTATACGATTTATGAAGTGCTAGAACTTGTAATCATTCAAATAAAAAACCATCATCTGTTTCGCACATTACGAAGTCACAATCTAAACCTTGAATAAAAAGTATCACTAATATCTTAACTATAAACTTAATTACTAAAAAGTCACAATCTAAACTCTAATACATGAAGTCAAATCCCAATAATTTTGTCCCCACAGCTACTGAATGGGACTTCCTTTTCCTAGTGTTAATAGTCGAAGGGGCAAGATAGTCATACAATTAACTTTTTGACTTTTGTTTACTAAAATATCATTTGTTGGTGGTCCCTACCAAATAGGTAATATGCCAAAGCTCAAAGTATAATATGTGCCCCTATCGGCGTCGTATATTAGCTGATACCGACACGTATGACGCAACTAATGCCGCGTAGCGGTGGCGTCGGACACGTGGTATAACGTAGTTCATTTATGCGTGCCAGTGAGGATACAAGTGTGCTTAACGGGAAATTTGATTTTTGGGCTATATGTTGGGCCCAGTGATGGGCCCATCGGGCTTTTAGAAAAGACTTGTGTTTTTTCTTTTCTGTCGTGACTTCACCGCTACGACTGGAATTTCGTGCAGAGTTCCTATTTTGGGAACAGAACAGAAAAGGAAAAGATATACTGGAAATTGTGCCCTTATTTTGTACTCTATCTAGCTTAGAAGTTGACACGTTGGAGGAAAATGAATTGTGGGTCAGAGTGACAGAAAAGCGTACGGGTTTAACAAAGAAGGAATGATTATGAGAAAATGGAGTTGATAATTATAATTACCGATAAATGAATTATTGATGCTTTAACATAAAATGGGAATGGATTGTTGACGTGAATTATGCCAAGGAGAAAATATTTTGAGAATGGAACAAGAATAATCTGGCAACAACAGACACACTTGACATTATTTTGCAAAAGGAGAATAATGACAACAAAAAGAGTTGGTAGCTGTACTTGTTTCCTTTATCTTTTTGTGCTTTTCTCTCTTTATCTATGTTTAACTCAAAAACTAACCTTAAAATAAATAGTTAAAGTTATATAATAAGGTCACTCGTATATAAATTTATTCAAAATGCTTTTATATAACTTAAGGAATAACAATGGACTAAAGCTGAATTGACGAGCTAAATAGATAAATATTTATTAGATATCAGCCTTTGAGGGGACTACACTATAATTCTTCAGGAATATAATCTGAATAATAACTTGTAAGGTATTTGTGAGTGTCTGTTACAAGTTCATGAAGTAAAGTATTTACAACCTATGTGGGACATGACCCTTTCGAGTTTCAAGCCCCCGCGTTGTGTACATGGTTAACTGGTGGCGAGATCCTTGTTGGTCATAACTGTTTATCCGTAAAACGGTACAGTTGAATTTATTGCGTAGTTTATAGACAAGCAAATCGATTTGATCCCAAAATAATAAATAGATTAAATAAAATGCAAGACTTAGCATTGAAATCGAGATAAAATAGCAGACAACTTGGTTTCGGGGAGCAAGGCTTCTGAAGGCCGCGATAAGAATATTGTTAGACAGAAAATAAAGTAATATTCAGCTTGGAATAATGTGTAGCATAAGTTTTTCAGAAATTTCGTGTGTTACAAAGGCGGTTGAAGTCACTATTTTTAGCTAAACCTAGGGAACAAGGTCCTAGGATCAAGCCTCTCTTAAATGACAATAATGGGGGCCATTGATGAATATTCAACGACATGCTATGAATGCCAAAATCTCTGTAATGGATATGCATTTAATGCTGAGAAATATTCTTCATTGAATGTCATCGGGTGGCATATAGTTGTTTTCCCTCGTTGATAATGTTCCAGTTTCACGTGTCATTCTGTTATTCAAGTATTTAATGTGAACCGATTTTATCCTATACAAATAGTCCCCCAACTTTTCGGTGGCACATTTTTGTATCACCGGGAAGTTGGTGAAGATTCCTTTCTTGGTGAAAATTTTTTTGAACCCTTCTGAAAAGTTTTTGACGCTTGATTAGACGCACGCCTCTTCGCATTTAATACCCCAAACACATGTTGCTCCATGATTTAGTAATATTTTTACCAGTTCTCGAGATAAACATGGCCACGATTTTAGCCGTCTATTCCTTTACTTATACGCTTCATCTTCTTTTACACTTAATAGTATTACAAACTCTCTCTCAACTTCTTTTGCATTCAACTATTTCATGTTTTCGCTCTTCTTTAATCTTCTTCATCAAAGAACTCTTACTACCTTCTGCTGATCATGGCTTCTTTCACTAACTCCTCCAAGAACTCCGGTTTTCTCTTTGCTAGGGGTCCAAAGGAGAACAAAAACAAAGAAATTAACGTTGATGTTGACCCCCTTACGGTAAGCACCATTATCCCCCAATGACTCAACACAACCAAGGACTTCGAAGATAAGTTTCTTTCTTCAAGTTCTCGCACTTGGGATGTTGGCATATATACTTTATTCATCCGCTCTTCCAGTATTCCTGCTGTGAAGCAGGATTGTGATTGTCATGATCTGAACATTATTGCTCCCGAACTGGTGGAGCGAGTAACCTTCTCTAAGAAGGGCTTTATGTACGTCTATACGTACTCATTCACTTTGGATGTGTTTTCTTTGAGCGGGGGACTAGACCCCGTGATTTTGGAGTTGTGCCAACGATACCAAGTCTGTTTGGCACATGTCAGTATGGCGAACGGTGGCTTATATGCGGCGGTTGTGCCAGGAAATGCAGGAGGAGTTCACCTTGGCTCATATGATGAATCTTTACTCGCAAAAGATTTTTCATGGGGGAGTAATAAATTTTAGCAAACTTGGCCACCATGATTTTCTCACCACCATGGATGACGACAACGATCGTGGATGGATGAAGTGGTTTATCGTTGTTGCCACCAGGGATATCATCCCAACCATAACTCCATCTTTTCCTGAGTCCTAGACTCGTACATGTAAGTTCAATGTCTGTCTTTTTTTTTGAAAAAAGGTTGTTTCATGTCATTGGTTATCTTTTTTCTCTTATTATTTCAGCAACTCGGTGGACTCCACCAAGGGTTGAAGGCCTAAACCAGTGGGTTCAGAAGATTCTGGACATCATCACGCTTGAAACCCGCTGGTAGAAGGAGCTGGACCCCAAATACGGATGGAAGGCCAAGAATCATAGTAAGTTGACTGATTCTGCCCTCATTTCATTTTTGTGCATAAAAAAATTGGTTAACCTCTCTTTTTATTGAATTCAGGTCTCCCGCAGGGCTCGGTTACCATCCATAAGGAGGGTGTTTTGGTTGATCTCGTAAAGGCTACGAGGTTGCTGAAGGAGGTTCTCTCCCCGAACAAGTGCCATCAAATCTGCTTCTGATGCAAGCGCTTGCTCTCAGGGTCCCCGATCAGAGAACAAGAAACCAAAAAGACGACGTTCTTCCTCGGCCGAGGGCATGAATAAAAAGGTGAAGAAAGCCGCGCCCGAGTCAGCCGCAGCCACTGTAGTGATTGATGATGATGGGGAAGCCAGTGATGAAGGAGCTTTCCTACAAAAGGAGACAACGACCTTCATCAGCTCAACATAATGCTCAATTTGAAGAGCTTATAACCCTAACTGGTGACGATGCCCAAGCGCTTTGGGATAGTTTGACTTGGTGGAGAATGCCAATTCTCCCTTTCCAGTCCCAGTTGCTACTCTCAGTACTATGAGGCTGAGTACCGGGCCTCTTTCATCTTCGGTTGGTGAGCAACCAATAACCAGCACCACCTCCGCCGCAGTTGTTTCTCATCCCACAACACCATCAGCTTCATCTCCTTCCATGCCGGTCATACCTTCATCACCAGCAACTGCTACATCACCCCCATTGACCGCAGACACCCAAGAGGAGGATGTCCCTTCTCCCCAGTCCCCAGACCATGGGAATTTGGGGCACAACTATTCTCCCCCTTCTACAGATCCCCAAGGGAGGAGGAGTATCTCCCTCTCGGTATCTATTGAGTGACATCTGCTGTCCGGGCCGGTGGAACTTGCCAATTACCTGAATTTACTGGCTTCAGAGAAAGATAAGAAGAAAATACACTCTCTTTTGGGGGAGTGTATGATAAATAATGTCATGCACAAGCAGCAGTTGTAACATACTTATCCTCTTTACTGCTTTGTTTCTTCTTGATTTGCTTTGATAGAGTTTCTAATTTGGGTTCTTGCTTCGCAGGCAAACTTCCTTGCTTCCGAGGGCCTTAAGAAGTTGATCCTCGATAAATAAAAGCTTAAATCCGAGCGGGATCAATTGTTGGCCGAGAGGGACCAAATTGATGCTCGCCTCCCGGTGTTGGAAGCAAAAGCTGCTGAAGCTGGTGAGTTAGAGGCTCGGCTTCAACAGAGTGAGCAGGAAATGATAACCCTTAGCCAAGAAGCCTCTCAGTTAAATGTACAGTTTCAAGAAGCCAAGGCTAAATGATCTTAGGTCTAAAATGTTGTGCTTGCTGCTACCAAGCGCGAGGCTGCCTCCATTGAACGAGTGAATAATTTAAAGGCAGCCTTGAATTTCAAGACTGCAGAGGCTGCTACTACTGAAGAGAAGCGTGCCCAGATGGAGGATAGGTATAAGAGGATCATGGAGCATAATAAGGTTCATATAACCAATATCTGTGATCTTGACCTTAGCCTTAGCGCAACAAGATCCGAACGGAATGGCCTTTCGACTGAGGTTGATCGGCTTAAATTAGAACTCAAGCGTCTAGCAGATTCCCTCATCATTGAGAAAACTTATTCTATGTATAGCATGAGGAGAAAAACCTTGGAAGAGGCCAAAGCGAATGTCATTGATATTGACGATGAAATCGCTAAGGCTCGAGAAGTGGAGTCAACCGCTCGAAGACGCCTTCCGGTTCAGCCTGATGCAACCGACTCTTCTAGATCTGGTTCCGAGTTTCCAGGAACCGAGGAGGAAATTGAAAAAAATAATGATAATGACCAAGATCTCGAGCCAGTGGCAGATCCGCCTACTTCTCCTGGGGGCGCCGATGCTTCTCTTTCCCCGAGTTCCGGGGGCGATATAGTTTAGTTTTTTGCTTTCTTTTCCTTTGTTGTTTTCTTTTCGTATTTTTGTACTTGTGATGCTTACCACGTTTGAAAAATAAGAATGATTTTTGTTTAAATTTTGCGTAAAGTTTAATTTTTTGCATCAAATTATACAAGGTTTCGGGTGCATTTTTCCTCGATAGCGTTTGGATTCTGGGCATAAACTCTTCCGGAACCAACCATTTACTGTGAAGGTTTCATACGAGTGGACCCTCTTATTTGTATGGTTATATTGAAAAGAATGCCTCATATTCATTTCGACACGAGCATTTGAAGTACTTGATTAACTTTCAAATGATAACATCAATTCATGATTTGGACAATAAACAAGATAAAAATAAAAGAACTTTATTTTATTTCTTCTATATTCAAAAGTACATAAGCATTCATTTTGCTGAAAAAGAAATTACCATTACTTATGGCTAATTTGTACAACTTATTTCTACGGGGCTGGATGTGCAGTCCCCGGTCCCGATGAGACATTTTCGTTCCCGGATTTCCTAGTTCTTATTTCTATGGCAATCAAATTATCGTATTCTCATATCATTCCCCTTAGTGTTCGAATGCGAAGAATGCGAATTGGAACACTCTAAGTCTTGCTCCGTTGAGGATTCCACTAGTAAATAGTTGGATAATCTTTGGTCCGATAGAAAGCTTCATTTCCCGTTAGGAACTTTACTACAGAGCCGAAGATTATCTAAACACCCCTAGTGGCTTGTCATTTTCATGCCTTGTCATTTAAAGGACTTATTTCTACTAATGATATTTCCTTCGTAGTATGTTTTCCATTGCTGCCTCGTTAAAAACATTGCCAGAAAAATCCAATTGGGATAAAAACTGGACGAAGAAAAAAAAAATGCAACACATACTTTCAGTATAAGAGGTGTTCATAAGCAATAATACCTTTTGAGGTGAGTCACGTTCCAGTTGCTCAGCAATTTGACCCCATCTTGATTTTTCAATTCGTACGATCCATTCCTAGTGACAACTGAAACCCAGTAGGGGCCTTCTCATGTTGGACCCGGCTTTCTTGCGTTGAGCTCCCGGGTGTTCTGAGTCACTTTTCTTAAAACCGAGTCTCCCATTTTAAAATAACGGAGATTGGCCCTTTGATTATAGTATCTTTCCATTCTTTATTTCTAGGCTACCATCCTTATGTGCGCCAAGTCCCTGCGTTCGTCAAGCAGGTCCTATTTGACTAGAAATGCTTCGTTGTTTGTTTTTTTGTCTGCCTGGAAGTATCTCAAGGTCGATTCTCCTACTTCCACCGGGATCAGAGCTTCTGCTCCGTATACGATAGAGAAAGGTGTTTCTCCCGTGCTTGACTTGGTCATTGTCCGGTATGCCCATAACACTCCCGGTAACTCCTCTGGCCACTTGCCTTTGGCTGCTTCCAATCTCTTTTTGAGGTTTTGAATAATCACCTTATTTTTCGATTTTTCTCGGCCATTTGTGCTCGGATGGTATGGCGAAGACGTGATTCTTTCTATTTTCAAGTCTTCAAGGAATTTTGTGACCTTTGCGCCTATGAACTGTGGTGCGTTGTCGTAGGCAATCTCCTTTGGTATTTCGAACCAGCAAATTATGTTCTCCGAAAGGAAATCGACCACTCCGCGCTCACCGATTTTCTGGTAAGGACCTGCTTCAACCCACTTAGAGAAGTAATTAGTTAAAATCAAAAGAAACCTTACCGGGAGCCAGTAGTAGCGAACCGACTATGTCCATTCCCCATTTCATGAATGGCTATGGGGATCATACTGAGTGCAGTAGCTCTATCGGTTGGTGCACTAACGGCGCATGGCATTGATACTTGTCGCATTTACGAACGAATGCCTTAGCATCTTGTTCCATCCGGGGCCAGTAACATACTGCCCTAACTAATTTTAGCACTAATGAGTCTGCACCTGATTTCCACAAATTCCTTCATGAATATCTCTCATCATGTAATTAGCTTCAGAGGCGCCCAAGCATCGGGCCAACGGGCCTTGGAATGATCATCTGTATAATTGTCTTCCCATAAGCCGTAACAAGATGCTTTGGTGCGGAGTGCCCGGGATGTCTTCGGGTCTTCGGGCAGCTTGCCATGCTCAAGATAGTCAATGATTTCATTCCTCCAGTCCCGGACCAAGTTTTTTGTATTTACTTCGTAATAATCGTCCACATCCAACACCAAGTGCATAAGTTGTACGACTGTACCAGAATCTGATTCCTTTATTTATGTGGCAAGCCCAGATTGGCCAATGCATTTGCTTTTGCATTTTCTTCTCTTGGGATGTGAGTAATTAACCATTCCCTGAATCGTACGGGTAGAGTTTGAACTTTCACCACATATTGCTACATGCGTTCCTCCTTGGTGTCGAAGATTCCATATAATTGAGTTACCACTAGTTGGGAATCATATTTGATTTCGATGAACTTGGAGTCTAGTCCCCGGGCCAGTTCAAGCCCTACAATCAAAGCCTCATACTCGGCTTCATTGTTAGTCAAGGGCACAGTCATTATAGCCCGCCTCAGGACTTCTTCTGAGGGCGTGATTGAGACTACCCCGAGCCCGAACCCTTTTACGTTGGAAGCTCCGTCCGTGAACAAGGTCCAAACTCTTGATGTCATTTTCGACACCATCACCGCTTCCTTTGTGGCCATAGGCAGCAATCCGAGACTGAAATCAGCCACGGAGTCGGCCAAAACTTGTGATTTGATCGTAGTCCTCGGTTTATATTCAATATTGAATTCACTAATATCGACTGCCCATTTGGTATATTGACCTGACAACTCAGGGTTGTGAAGGATATTTCGCAGGGGAAAAGTTGTCATCACCGCTATCCGGTGGCATTGAAAATATGGCCTAAGCTTTCAAGCGGCGTCTTCGAGAGCCAAAGCCAGTTTTTTGAGGTGCGAATAATGAGTCCCCCCCTCCCCCCCCGATAAAATTCTGCTAACATAATAGAAAGGCGATTGCGTACCTTCGTCTACCTGGGACTAAAATGACACTTACCGCTACCTCCAAAACCGCTAAGTATATTAGCAACTACTCGCCTTCCTCCAGTTTTGATAGTAACGGAGGGCTTGATAGATATCGTTTCAAGTCTTTTAGAGCCTATTGGAATTCTGGGGTCCACTCAAAATTGTTCTTCTTTTTCAGAAGTGATGCCATTTTTAGAGGACCGAGAAATGAACCTGCTCAGAGCGGCTAGTCTTTCGGTTAGTCTTTGGACTTTTTTCACGTTTGTCAACTGGTCTAGAATGTCTTTGAAGGATTTAATTTTGTCGGGATTGACTTCGACCCCCCTTTGTGACACCAGGAAACCTAAAGACTTACCGGAGCTAACTCCGAATGTACACTTTTTGGGGTTAAGCTTCATATTATGCTTCCTTAGGATGTCAAAGGTTTCTTGGAGGTGTTTCAAATGGTCACATGCGTTCAAAGACTTAACCAGCATATCATCTATATAAACATCCATTTATTACCCCATTTGCTTTTCGAACATTTTGTTCACGTGCCTCTGATAAGTGGCTCCAGCGTTCTTAAGCCCGAATGGTATCACATTGTAGCAATATTTGCCAAAGCTCATTATGAACGAAGTTTTTTACTGATCCTACGGGTTCATCCTTATTTGGTTGTACCCGAAATAGGCATTAAGGAAACTCATCAGCTCGTGTCCGGCCATTGCATCAATTATGTGATCAATGTTTGGCAATGGAAACGAGTCTTTTGGGCACACCTTATTCAGATCCTTATAATCTACACACATGAGGAATTTATTATTCTTTTTGGAACTACTACTATATTATCTAGCCAGTCGGAATACTTTACCTCCCGGATTGAACCGATATCGAGCAGTCGAGTTACCTCTTCTTTGACAAACATGTTCCTGACCTCGGCGATCGGGCAATTCTTTTGCCTTACCGGAGGGATGCTGAGGTCCAGGCTTAACTTGTGCATGGCCACCTCTAGCGGGATACCTGTTATATCAATGTACGACCATGCAAAACAATCAACGTTTGTTTTCAGAAATTCTATAAATCCTGACCTAAGCTCGGGGTTCAATCCTGTCCCCAAGTGAAACTTCCTCGGTAGAAACTTTTCGAATAAAGCCACTTGTTCGAGTTCTTCCGATGTGGATTTAGTCGCATCCATTTCCTCCGGTACCTGGAAATACCTCAGTACCTGGTAGGATTGCGATAACTCCTCCCCTTTGTCATCTTCGCTTAATTCGGGAGTAGACTTCGGTTCCTGTAATTGCTATACCGTGTGTTCCTTCCCTTTACTGTAAGAACCCGAGATCGCGTTCATTTCCCTTGCTGCCGGTTGATCTACTCTTATTTGCTTGATTCCCTCTAAGTTAGGAATTTCAGAAGTTGGTGATATGTTGATGGCACAGCCTTCATCTCGTGCAACCATGATCTGCCAAGAATTATGTTGCATGTCGCCATCTACTACCTCAAACAAGGAAGTCTTCATGACCCCTTCGGCGTTCGTGGGCAGCAGGATCTCCCTTCGGGTTGTCACACTTGCTAAGTTGAACCCGACGAAGAGCTTTCTGGCCGGAATGATGCGTCCGGTTAGCTTGGCTTGCTCCAGCACTCTCAATTGAATGATATTTGCTGAACTTCCTGGATCCACCAAAACACATTTAATTTTAAAATATGAACGTTAAGAGAAATTACCAGGGCGTCATAGTGTGGCAGTAAAAATCCATCGGTGTCCTCTTCTTTGAATGTGATGTCATCCTCGGTGACTTCTCAGAGTCTCTTGCTATGAGTCACCGACACCTTTGTCTTTTTTTGCTGCCGAGAAGGTCACACCGTTGATCTCGTTTCCCCCGAAAATCATTGGTGATGGGTTGCCAGGGAGGGTCTTCACCTATCTTCGAGGGCTCTATGTTATCCCGGTTAAGGCCGTAATTATTTTTGGCCCAGTCGCTTAAGAACTCTCTGAGATGGTCATTTTTCAATAACATCGCTACCTCCTCGCGCATATGT